ATGACGTAAGATGTTTGTTTTGTTTTAAACAACAGAATAAAATGACGGAATATATATGCAGCTATATATTCTTCGGGTAAACAGAAGACTAGTATTGTACAATTTAGGAATAATAATTATTATAAAAAATGGTTTGGTTTCAGGATAATAGCGAGCCAGTAGAATACAATAAATTTTGAAAAATACGGACATACGAGTAGCTACGTATCTTCCATTATGTCGTAAAGATTCGAATATGAGATATTACTATATATAGTTTGACGAAAAAAATAACAACTATTCTTTTTATTAAGACAGACCATAAATTTATATAATTTCAGTATTTTTATTGAATTTACGTCAATCATAAAAATGTTTCTGACAGATGCATATTATGCACCGTGAAGGAAAACGTTGCATATTAAATAATCATAGTAAGTCACTCTATGGCTTAAATGAAATATTCTTGACGCTGATGGGCTTATTACCAAAGAATTCGATAATTTTTCAGCGATTATGTAATTTGCGACAGATCTTACTTAATGTTACAAAACACTGCGGGACGTTCTTTTGAAATATCGCCACAAGCGGCATTATAGCTGAATTACAACAATTATGTTTCGCGTGTTTGGTATATCCTCCTTTTCTATTAAAAATCTGGATAGAAGAAAATAACACTTGTAAGTACCGAGACAGGATCGATGAGTTAACAACTTCAACGAAGGTTTCTTCGTTTGTACTCACGTAATAGTACACGTGATCGTTATCTATGATCTAAAGAAAAAAATAAAGGACATACAGAAAATCCGTAAACGCTTGAATACTGTTTTCCGCTTGGGAAGAGATTACTGCTGCTCCATCGCGTGAACCAGTATTAATAAATAAAAAGACATAGAGAATCCAGCACAACCTATTAAGCTACTTTGAATATCTAAAATAGAAAAATACACGTTGATATTACGTCAGTATCTAAGTACAGTGTTATTAAGGAAAGAAATATACTTTGAACGAACTTATTTTCCAGAAATTGAAACATTAATTTTTTCCTATTCTAATATCAAAACAGTTATTTTTTATTTGTGCTCCTTTCTCGTTCTGTTTTCGTAGAATGAGAATTATTCAAGAAGAATTAATGGTAGGAAATTAATTAAGGTAGAAAAAATGACAAGTTAATTAATTCAGTCTATAAATTTCAATATCCTTCTGCGTTTCGTATACCTTCCCAAGACTAAATATTTGAGAAATGAAAAAATATATTTCTTTATGTATTTCACCTTGTTTTTTGATTTGGGTTAAACTATAGTCGAAGCCACGTGATTCTACCTTGTTCGAAATACCAAAAGGTAGCAGTGAAACAAGCGACCGCGTTTCTCCGCGTTGAAGGAATGCATGCAAAATGACCGACATAAGAGTTTACTTATCACCTGAGCGTTAAAATGTAAAATTTCCTCCAGTTATTTTTAAGACGACGTTGTGATTAAAAACTGTATAATATTTCGTAATTATATAATAAAGTTAAAATGCATTTTTCAAAGATATAAATGTTAAGTATCAGTCGATACTTTTTAATAATCATTATTGCAATGGTTTTTACTTAACAGCGACATAAAATTGAATCTGTAGTAGATATTTCATTTCTTCTTAATCGACGTCCATCTTTACCATCAATTACATACTGTGATGATGAAAGAATATTTTTGACACTTTTTCAACGTACAGACATTTAAAGGTCAATGGTCCACAGATTCGTTCATGTAAGTCAGTTATTAAGTAACGTTTGCAAATCAACATAAAGGCCACTCAAATTTGAAAAGATTCCTTTCTTAATTGTACTTTCTTCATGATGAACGCATCGTACAGTCAAGTATAGTGTAAGCAACAAGAGTAATTTCTACAGTCAGTTATTTTTTTCTGTAAAGGATTTCAGTGTAATAAACGCAAACTGCTTAGAAGGACAAAATTAATTTTTCTGCGTTTGAATAAGAATTTGTAACCAGCATTCACACTATACAACGTTTCATAATAATTCCTATTTACATAAATATATAATTTATCTTTATTTTTATATCAATTTTATAGAAATCATTTATACTATTTAATTTGATTATTAAATTATATAAATTCATACATTATTTCTTGAAAAACTTTCCTATTTACTTTAAAATCTCTCTTGGTGATCGATATAGTCGAGCGACTAGGGTCCTTCAAATGTTTCGACAATTAACCTCAAATCCTACTATATTTGCAATGAAACGTCCAAACAAACACTTGCAGTTTTTCAAGAATTAGGTTATATTCTATATAGACAATCTAATTGTATATAGTAGTCATAATATATATAGTAGTCATAGTATATAGTATCATTAATATAAATAATTTCTCCAAATGGACTGTTTCTTTGTCTCTTATGTCATCTTTAGACATATCTTTTTATGCGTATCTGTTGTTCGCTGAGAACTAATTATTTTATCTACACCATTATGTATAATCGGTTTATTTATTCATTAGTAATAATAATAATAATAATAATAATGATAGTAATCGTAACTGTCGTCTTACACTATACTTGACATTTCTGCACAACTACGTCGTACCAAAATGTCAGAATATTCAAGGAATTTTATGTCTGTCATTTGCAACATCGATAAACTCTCCATATACTCATTTCCTGGCACGATCAACGACGAATCCTGCGTAAATACACGTTAAACGACAGAGACGCGGAACGAGACCACGAGGAAAGCGGTTGAGGCGAGAGATAAAAGCGGAAGCAAAGTGATAAGAAGAAGCTGGACTTACCGCGGCTGCCACCTAATCCGTTCACGATCGTATCCAGAGTGTCATGGCACAACGATACAACAATATAATCAGCCGCGCACACTGGCGAACCGGCTTGAAAATGAAACCACCGTCAAAAAACTTTGAAAACAGAACTTCACTGACAGTTTATTTCCACACTGTTTTGCGTATATGTACTCTACAGGACAGACAGCTGTGGTCCGCGGTTACATGTCGCACTGTCGCACGCGTGCACCGGGCCTAAAATTCGCAGGTTAGCTCCGATTGGCTGGCGGACCTCGATCGCCGAGTGGCAATCGAACGAAATCGATTCACCTCGAAATTGAATGGATCGAGATTACATATAAAACGAAGCGAGCATGCCGAACGTCGCCGGCCAAGTGAGAGGCTAGCGGCACTACCGACCAACCAATGTGACGTCAGAGTGCCTCCTCTCTTTTTGCCATTCCATGGCGAGCACCGCGAGAAAGGTGCCTGTACAACTTCGTATTCCCTTCTCTTCTGTCCTTGTTTGCGAGGAGCACCGAGGAGACCTTAAGGATACCTCGCTGCCAGCGAATATTTTCATCGAAATTCTTTGGACGAATTACCTTTACAACCGTACTCGACAGGGACCATCCGCGAAAGAATATCTCGAAGAGAGAAGCGGAGAAAAGGCGGAAAACATGAACGATGGCTAACCCGTTTGTCGAATCGACTAGTGAATTGCACGAGGCTTTTGGTCAAGCGTGAAAACGTGAAATTGGTACACTTAAGTGGTCCACTAACCAGTGCTGGAAATGGAGGAGACTGACAATCAGATTGAAAAATTGAATAAGGCAACTCTAGAAATATCGCATCGAACTGCATAATTGTATTTTAATATAATTGATAATCGTTTTTCAAATTTATATAACTTTTATATTCCTTGTACATATCACGAAGAGTATTATATTACATGAAATGTGAAGCTAATTTCGGTCATATGTTATGTAGAAAGGAAGGTAATGTTAGTTTTAGTAATTGAAGAAAATTGCAGTCTTGCTTTTCCCTCGTTATCCGTTCAATAAACTTGTCGCGCGTATGTATTTTATATAGCCGATGAAGTTTTAGACACAAACTAGTTGATGAAGTGTATTCAAGCGTTACTATATTAGATTGGTTGAGTAACAGACATTTTTTTTAGTTTTTCAAGATATCTAAATGTTAAAACGCAAGAATACTGTTGCCAACGAAGTGTATTTATTCATATTGACAAAATTAAAAATATTACTTACAACGTTACTCAAAACAGTTCACTCTTATAAATTTCCAAAACATGTAATTTTTCAAAAAATTATAATTATTAATTCTCGCAGATTTCATTATACAATGAAATTAAATAAATAATGAATAAAGAAGAGAATTAAAGGCGTTTCACATTTTTTTAAACTTATGGCGGATGTAAAACTTGTCGAATGTATTTAAAAATCCGTATATAACAGTCTCTCATATATACGTGGTTCTTGTAAACTGTATATCGACGTAGATGTCATTATTTACGTAGAAATTGACTTTCACTGAATAAAGCTACTTTTTAGGTAACAATCATATAGTTAAAGTGAACCAAGACCAATGTTACGCTTGGTTCACTGAGCCATTCAATTACGTACGGGAAAAAAGAGGTACATATATATAGAGAATATAGCAGACGTCTGATTATCCGCAACGAATGTGAAATAGATCTTACAGATACATAAAATTATGAATTTTTCAGGGCAAGGTGAAAAAACCACAGGTGTCCATTGAACAGCTGCAAAAATATCAGTATATATATAGTCATAAAATTGCATATTTATTTCCTTCCCTTCCCCAGCAAGCGCCTAACGAACGTATACATATATCGACTAAAGAGAAAGATATCCTTTTTAATTTAAATATAACTGTTTTTTTATAATTTATACATACCATTATATACAATAATGTGGTTCTGCTTGAAAAATATTTTTCAACACAACGTAATAATAATAATAACATGGACGTAAAGTTTCGAAGATGACTTACCTTATAGATACATAAAAAATTCCTTTACTTTAAAAAAATGATCGGCACTAATATAATTTGCTAAATTGCCAAACCTTTTATAATTACTGCCAAACTTTTTATAATTACCAATATTCACAAAAATTCAAATAATTTACTTCACAAACATATTCGTAAGTGAGATATAAATTAAAGATACGTTAAATGGCATTTATACTTGCAGAATTTACCAACAGCTGTTAAGGAAGGGAGTCCGTGTTTCTACAAAGCGATTCTCATATTTAGGTCAAATTCCATCCTACAGGAATCCCTCTTAACTCGACCGTCCTATTTTTGCTGTAGTAGGCACATCGTAGTTGCCCTTCAGTACACCAGGTGTAGCAGCCATCAGGATGAACGTAGTCGCAGAATCCTTGGAATAAATGAATACTATCTCTCATCGAGACTGGATAACGCTTGAAACGTGACATTTCCAAACGAGCCGGGCATGATCTTGTTTTTCTTGAAATGGTTCGGTCATGTCACCCGTTACATGACACCGTACGCGCTCCTCGAGCACAGCGCAAAACGAAGACCGAGCACTTTCACGTGGAGGCCGCGTTAGTAAATATCATGGCCATATTTTCTATCTGCTCGTCTTTATCTCGCCTGTTCTTCACCGCGAGAAGCACTCCTATCTCTTTCTGCTTCGCAATAATCGAGTGTGGGTCATTACACGTTCTTGTCTCCTTATTTATTCGTCGTCGACGCCGCCACTTGTCGAAAACATGTCGCGCTAACCAAGTTCTCCGATTTCCCATCGTAAACGTTCCTCCGGCTGCAATCTGCACGCTTTATCGCGTTCCACTGCCTCAATTATCGCACTCGATTACATAAAACTCCGCTATAATTTTCGTGTCACGGTCTCATTTTCGGATAATTTCTTTGAATCTCCTCGTTGTCATCGAGAGATATTAATGCACGAAATAAAGAAGCAAGCAAAGATACACAAAGATATGAACCGTTTCGGTATTAATTGATTTCCATGCCACGTATCAACTTATAACCGTGTACAACTGTCTGTCAGCGATGCGAAATTGTGGCCGTTTCTTCAATGTAAACGTTTTGTTAATCGTCGTTCCTTCCAAATCCTCGCGCAAATAAACGATACTCTAAATGAGAACTGTGGGAATTTTGGAAAAATTGTCCCAATTGCGAGCTATCTGATTCAAAGTTTTCGTGAAGATACGCATATACGGGAACGTTTAATGCGAAATAATTAGTACGTCAATGGCTTAAAAAGGAATGGAATCTAAACAATGATTCGTTTCACCTGTTAAATATTATAATGACCACTTTAATTTCGATATTTTATATATTTTTCCATATCATGAGCACGTAAGCATCCATAAATAGTAGGCACAGCAACGGAATTTTTACAAGCGTCTATCATGTATACATGTGTTCATAGGTCAAGAGAATGGATTCTGACGAATGCATATAGACATTCGTAGGGTCTTAACAATGAAAGATGAATATTATCGAGAGCGAATCGTCGCGATGGCAGGGGCAAATCCTAATTCGAAACTCGGACGAGTTTCACTGGTGGAAATTCAACGAATCCTTGCAGTTTCTAACGCTTCGCGCGATCTTCCACGAAAAGCAACGTCGATCGCCATGGAACTATCGCGAGGTGCGGAAGCAAGCCGAGTTTACGATCGCGACTTTTTCTTCGGCTTTATAGCATGGCATCCGAGTCTCGGTCAGTGGACTGAAGCCATCACGAGAGTAGAAGGAAGCCTGCCAAGGAGAACGAGAAAATTTTCCCTCAGCATCCGCGATCCTCTGTTCCCTATTTCCGATCTAATATGCTATCCGCGAGAAGAACGATCGCGTACAACAAGCGAATATTTTTTATCAGATCGGCAAGCAAATTCCTTCGTAATCTACGATACCTTAAACGTGCTCGTGGCAGAATGATCGACAATTCCTTCGATATCTTGCACGCTGGTATTCGCGTTATTACGTTAACGTTGCATTAAAGTGACGTAACATTTATGCAAGTTATTTGTCGGAATGATATTTTTAGTTACGAAGCGTTCGCTCGTGAAACGTCGACCTTTCCAGACAGAACGAACGCTTTGTAAACTACCGACATTAATCATCGCGCGTACAGGCTGTTTCAAAATAACAGGCGAGAACCGGCGATGAATCGGTCGATCTGTCAGTTGATACATTCAATAGATTTCAAGCAAATTACTCGATGAATTAATTTGGGCACTTTGTCGAGTTTAGCGAATGCTTTTTATTCAGCGAATGCAACCTTTCATATTTTCATTCATAATAATGTTATAACCTTTCTCCAGTCTCGTCAAGTACATAGCGGAATTTAATATGAATTACTGAAAATTTGTTATGAACTGTTTTGAATAATTTAAAATATGTTCCTAGAAGAAAGTGGTTACCTGCCACAGCCACGTTTGTTCAAAGCAAGCGTTCGAAGTGAAAATCGTTCGTTCCGATAAATTCGAACGTACCTTCTCACGATTTTTTCTCATTATTTTCTTCGCTCTCTACTGCCAAGAATGCAAAGGAAATTAATCGGCAAGCAGATATATTTATTCCATGATCGCGTATTAGTTATCGAGACACTGAACTCTTAAGATAATTAATATTGGGTTAGGAACTAAGTGATTGCGGATTTTGTCAATACCACCACTTTTTTTCGCAAGGAGGGGAAAATGTTATTACGCATATCCATTAATGTGTTACTGGGTTATATGGGAGTTGGTAGATGGCACTAAAAGTACCTCCTTTATCCGTCCTTTTAACCTTACAAGCTCCAACCCCGGAACTGCCTTATGGCATTACTTCAGGGTTAGCCTTATTTAATAACGTTCCTGTACAAGAATGCCATCTAGTGACAAAATTCGTAATTTTGTTATTTCAATTCTTACATTAAACGCGACAATTTGTTACATTTCTGCAGTGTCTATCAATAATTATTTCTTTTTAAATAAATCATAACGGACGTGAATAGAAACTAGTTTTACGTAGTATCTGTTTTATAATAAATATACATATGAGATGGATTAAACGTGTGGGTTTGTTTGATAAAGAAACGAACGGTAGAATTTGTAATAGTCAGTTGTATTAAAATCAATACAAATACAAGAGATAGTGTATGTCAGTTATAATCGTCGTTCGCTTAACGCTATTATGCCGATCGAAAAAATAATAACAATAATATCCTAGGGAACACGTTTATACATCAGCGGACGTTACCACAAAAAGTTAACCTTCTTATGTAACTCCGGCTGAAGATTACAAGAAACGGCAATAACAATCTATTCTGAATTCACTTGCCTTTAGACTTTTTAAACCAAAACAATCGTTAATATTCAAAGGTACAATAATATGATTCTCTTTCAGACTGGAAGTTTCCGTTTCCATTTAAACTTTTTTCAATATATAAAAAATAGCCACTTTTTGTTGTTTGTATCAATATTCGAAGTTTATATTGGAAAGGTATCTGTGATTAAAGTTCGTATACATCGTTTCATGTTCTTACTATTGTTCTTATATATTCGTACATTTGTGTTATAACTTATATAAGTAAAAATAATTTATATAAATTTATAAGAAAATTAGTAGTTGGGTTACGACTCAGCCTTCTTACTGCAATCCAAGTATCAACTTTACGTGGCAGGTGCATGGAAAATTGTTTAAGTCAAGAGTGGAGAAAATCTTTGCGCCTTGTAGCTTGTCTAGTCGATCTTCTACTGAAGATTGCACGATATTTCGCAATTTTCCATATTTTACGATAGTCTACGCATAATCGCACTGGATCATTTCTCTTTTTAACTATAACTATCGGTCTCGTATATTCGGACAAGGAAAGCTGAACGACCCCATCGCGCAGACACTCATCCAACTGTTTATTTACCTTACTCTTAAGATAATCGACGTGCTCGATAAACCAGTTCGTTACCTTTCGCTACAATCGATCTTTTGATTTTACATTCTTCGGTCATCAAAGAAGAAATCGGCAGGTATGCAGAAAAATACAAGGAAAGAACGGCAACACATCCAAACCAGCTGAAGCGAGCAAAACTCTCGTACAAAGAAGACTAAAAAGAAAACATCTCACTGATCTCACTAAAGAAATAAAATAGTCAAACTCGAAGATGGTATCCCGCTGGGGAGAGCCATTCACATGATATTCAGCAATTGAGTTAGAAAAATTTACCAAATGTCCAGCTGGACAAATTGTAAAGTATAAATGAAATGATAATAATAATAATTCTGCGATCCCTCAAACGATCGTTTTTAACCGTTGTACACTTATCATCGAGGCTAAACTGTCGCTGTTACGAGATATTTACAGAGTCTGCATTCGTCGTGTAAGTTCAACTTCGCGACGCACTAGTTCAAGTTCGCGTTGCATAGGTTACATATTGCGGTTCATTCCCGCAATCTTATTCTCAACGCTAGAATTGATTGTAATTTTAATAAATATTAAAAAAAAAAAAAAATTCCCGCAATCTTTAGAATCGTGCACTCCCATCATATTTTAGTGTATATATTATACAACATTGTACAATGTACAATATTTGTTTCAGAGGGGATACATTTTTCGTAACTCGTGCTCACGTTATCAACCTCGCTGCGACTTCGATACTTAAGCGACATAATCCATGCAAATGAAATGCGTCACTATCCGTGTAAATTATATTTCTCATATCTGGAATATTTAGATTTCTGTTTCTTAAAACGTATGAATTCCTTAATTATTACAGACGTAATATATTTTTATACAGACGTTAATTCTTTTTTTTTTTTTTAATTTTTCCATCGAGACAACGATCTACAGTGAGATCCGTTATAACGAGACGTAATAAAGTGCACGCGTACCGAGCGAAAATTCAATGTCGATTTTCTCGAAAACAAAGCGTCAAACGAAAAATTTTTATTCTATATTTTCGACTTCTTTTTTCACGTAGAATCACCCCCTTTCCGCTTGTACCACCAGTTACCAACCACCCTGTATAGGACTATTATTTCGATTTTGATTGTTATTTAGTTACGATCGTAGATATAATGTTAATGGATATACGCGATCCTAGATTCTACAATATTAGTTTCATGAAATCTTAGAGCTGAATCACCGATATTCGGCGTACCTGTGGCATCTCCAAATGTGGCAAAGGTTAGCTAAAGATGAGTCGCTGTGGGCGTCTAATATTGAATTTTAATACATCACTGACAACGAATATCCCGGTAAATCTATGTCGCGTCGATTTAGTAGAACACTTATTTTCCAGCTTGGTAAAAAAATTCGAAACGAGCGAACAACGTTCCAACATATAAAAATATTTCATGCGTCTTATATAATATTTCTTTTACATAATAACGTTCAAAAATTACCATCGATAATTCATTTACTTTAATAACGAATATTCAAATGCTTCTGCTATCTAAATTTAATGCAACTGGAAAAGAGGAAGCGTAATAATTATTTATCAGATATACGAATCGAACGATCTTTCGAAAGAATTGTGAAAGGTTAAAAGACGAAAGAAGTAAAAGAAAGAGCTATCAAGTACTGTTTACATTTTCGACGACAACGAACTCGAAATAGCAAAGTCAACCTGTTTTTATTAAAAAACCATTGTCGATTAAAGAGCTGCTGGTTCATCCGTTTTTGCGGTCAACGTGTGTTTTCTCGCGTTTCACAGCACTTCGTTCTTTTCCACGTAGCACAAAATCTGCGCATGCGTGAAAAATAGATGAACGGTATCTAGCAATAAGCGTAATTCACGTCATATTTTATGTCAGGAACATATGACTGTAACAAATCTCACGTTATTGAAGACTACGAAACCTTTCTAATTTTCGTAACGAAACGTCCAAACCATGTCACATCAATTTAATTGTTATTCGATAGAAATGTTTTTTTTTTATTTATTTATATTTTACAATTTGTCCAGTAGGACACTTGGTAAAATATTATAGCTTAGTGGTATAATAATATAACATATGGATGGCTATCCCCAGTGGAATACCATCTTCGAATTTGATTGATTTATTTCCTTAATGTGGTAAGTGTTTGTATGTTAGGTTATGTCCTTTGTGAGATCTGTTGGGTGTTTCCTTTTTAATCTTCTTTTAATCTTTTTTAATCTTCTTTCGATAGAAATGTGACACTAAAGGCCTAATTTTTTAACGATCCAACTACCAAACACAAAACGCTCGAAGGTAATTGCAACGACCACCAAAGATATTTGCATCTTTTCTTACCGCCCAACGAAGCGTTCCCTTAGGTTCCATACGTTTCGTTTGGACAGTGGCAAATTTTTGTCATCATACATGAAGCTACATATTATTAAATGATACGAAATTAAATATGTTTGGAATTGCAAAAGACCAGTTACGAGAAATGTAATCTAAGACCAGATAAAAAGTAGAAATAAACCTTAGAAGAGCAAACGAGTATAGTAAAATATTAACGATGGATTTGATATATATACAGGGTGGTTGGTAACTGCTGGTACAAGCGGAAAGGGGGTGATTCTACGCGAAAAAGGAAGTCGAAAATATAGAATAAAAATTTTTTTTTAATTTTCTTTTTTTCTTTTTAAATTTTTCCATCGAGGCAACGATCTACAGTGAAATCCGTTATAACGAGACGTGATAAAGTGGACGCGTACCGAGCGAAAATTTAAAGTCGATTTTCTCGAAAACAAAGCGTCAAATGAAAAATTTTTATTCCATATTTTCGACTTCTTTTTTCGCGTAGAATCACCCCCTTTCCGCTTGTACCACCAGTTACCAATCACCCTGTATAATACAAATAATAAAGAAGTACGAATAAATAAATTCACGTGGTCGAACGGTTGGCCTTATTTAAATCTCATTGGAATCGTTGGAATCATTTTACAAATATCAGGTGCGATGTCAGGTAAACTTGAAGCAATTTCACGGAGAGTCCGCTCCAAACATCTATCGATTTTATATTCAGCTGGACCCGCTAGACCTAAACGCTAGATTCAATTAGTTATCTAAACTAAGTAATATTCACTTATTTATAATACTTACTTATAACTTATACTTATCTATAATAAGTATTAACTTATTATAAATAATCAGCCATGTCACTGCGCCACGCCAGAAAGATTACTGAAAATTCTCAACGCGAGAATTGATTGTAATTTTAACAAATAAAAAAAAAAAGAAATATTCAGCTGGAAAACGTGAAAATCGAGCGAGGAAGACGGGGATAAAGACGGTTGAGAATAATTAGAAAAGTCGTCGACTGACACGACCGTAGTTCATGATCTTGAGCGGCATTCTTGACTCGTGGGAGTCCTTCGCATAATTAACGCAACAAAAGAATGCAACGGTGAAAGAGAAGCTTAGAAAAAGAAGAGCACAAAGGGGCACGAGGGAGAAGGATGGAAACGACCGCGTCGGCAAGGAGACGCGAGATGAGGAAGGGAGCAGCCTTAAAGAGAAAAGGGAAAAAAAAAGAAATACGAAACGAAGACGGGATACGAGCGACATAATTAATGATTTCACCGTAATAATTAGCGTTTTCACTGATGTTGAATCGCTCGTACATCCTTCCTCGTACTATCGTGTTTACTCTCGCTTCGAGTATAACGGTACCTGCGAAAAATTTTGCTCATTGCCTCGACATAGATTGTATGTAACGTCAATTCATATTAAAGACAGTATGTGTGCAGGTCTTCATTCCGTACCCTCAATTATCCCAGGGACCCACCATAAACCTAAACTTTGTAAATTTATTATTTCTGTTATTTGTTTATGAATGGTCATTGAAACAGCCCTTACTTTCGTCCTTTTTAATTACGGTGACAGCAGGTAGTTACTTAATGGGGAAAACTCAATACTTGAATAACGAAAA